TTGTTGCTTAGTGACGGAGTTCCAGAATCTGAGGCAACAACTTGGAACTGGAAAGTTTTCAGTGTTTCAAAGTCAAAACTTTTCAGGGCTGAAACATCCCCATTTTCGGAGTTAATATTTAGAAATGATGTAACTTTATTTTCATGACCCGCATTCCTAAGAATATGATAGGAGATAATCGCATTATCTCCTTCATCACTGTCGGATGCGGTTATACAAAACACAGAAGCTCCCGGTGGGTTATTTTCGGCAATGAAGAACGTATAGGGACTCGCTGAAAACTGCGGACTATTATCATTCGTATCTGACACAAACACGTTTACTGTTTTTTCCGATGTTAAGGCTGGCTCACCAGCGTCCTTTGCAATTATTGTTATATCATATGTTGATTGTTGCTCTCTGTCCAGCTGTGACTTGGTGACCACGGCGAACATGTTATCTTGTATTGACGGAGTTAGTGTAAAAGGGCTGTCCCCTGCGATATAGCTGATTATTTTTCCATTTAACCCAGAGTCTGAATCTGTAATGCTGAGAAGCGCGACCGTTGTTCCTGGTCTAGAGTCCTCTGAAACTGCACTTGACAGCGATGCCACTTCTATCTCAGGGGGATTATCATTTATGTCTCCAATGTTAATTATCACACTTTTATAAGTTTTAAATGGAATGCTTCCCTTATCAGAGGCTTGTATATCAATGTGATAGCTGTCTTGTTCTTCAAAATCTATGTGACCTTTTACAATTATCTCCCCAGTAACAGAGTCTATATCAAAAAGCTCTCGAATTTTACCTTTTACGCCACTGCCAAATGAATAAACTACTTCCCCATTGGGACCATCATCCAAATCGGTTGCGTTAACCTGAATGACTGTTGTGCCAGCCGGGGTGTTTTCCTGTAGTACAGCTGAATATGTATCTTGGATAAACACTGGCATGTTGTCATTAACGTCTAAAACATCTATGTATATTTCAACTGTGCCCGTGTTTTGAGGTGTTCCACCGTCTATAGCCATGAGCACCAATTTATGGCTACTTTTAACCTCTCTGTCTAGCTGTTTACCCAACGTTAAAGTTGGAGTTTTACCATCTTTGCCTCTGTCTTTAATCTCTAAACGAAAATGGTCGTTCTGACTTATTTTATACTGTTGGATAGAGTTTGTGCCACTATCCGGATCATGAGCGTTTTGTAACTGATACTGTGCTCCTGGTAATGCAGACTCGGAGATCTCTAGTTTCTGAGCTTTGTCGGGAAATGCAGGAGAGTGGTCGTTTAAATCCGCTATTTCCACTATGACATAATGTATTTCTAGTGGGTTTTCAAGCACAGTTTTGAGACTAATTACACAAACATTATTATCCTTACATACTTCCTCTCGGTCTATTTTGCGCTTTGCGTAAAGGACCCCATCATCCTCATTTACATTGAAAAGAGGTTCAGTCGAGCCAGATATAATGCGAAATCCCCTCTGCTTCATTATATTCAGATCTATTCCCAAATCTTTAGCGATATTCCCAACAACACTCCCTTCTGTTAGCTCTTCTGATATAGAGTACCTCAGCTGTCCTGAAGCGATTGTGAAAAATAAAAGCACAACAAAAACGCTGATGAGTGGTGATCGCTGTCGCCATGATTCCCGTCGCCTTTGTTTCATACTGTGAGGTAAACGTAAAAATCCAAACGCTTCCATCATTCGCCACATGTTTAGATTTTTGTCTCCATAGCAGCAAGAAATAAATCCACTTCTCGTATATTATTTGCCAGTATAAAATAATAGTCACCACACGCTTAGAGCAAGTCTTTCAACTAAACGCTCTCAAACCAGACTGCATGTAGCGTGGTTGGACTCGAGTATGACGTTCAGAGACGCTATAAGGCGTTATACTGACAAGGTACCGCCACCTTGTGAATATGTGTAATAGTACAATTTATGATATCAAGCTGACAAATAATTATGGCTACTGCATCACTAAACTGACGTGTTTGAGGTCATCGTCGAAATTCTATCCAAATCCAGTTTCACCACCATTGAGAATAATGACAAAAATCATTACTCGGAGTAGAATAGGTAGAATACATGGCAACACGTTATTACTCACCTCTTCAGGTGGGCGTCTTCTGTCTGGCATCACCAGAGTATTTGCATGGCTGCCCGGAACTATAGTAGATCCTATACTCATTCTGGGTCCAACAAGCATGTACTTCCTGTCTCCTGATCTGTACTGGATGCTGTGACACAGTGTCCCGTCATAATCTGCTTTTTGTAAATACTTGGAAGTATCGTCTGTGGATTTGGAGCACTGCATCGCAATCAGCACGATGATGCTGATGAGAAAAAGTACAGAAACTGCGCCCAAAGTTATCATGAGGTAAAATATGACATTACTGCCCTCATTATCCTTCGTCGCACTTTTAACATCAGAAGCTGCAAAAGCCTCTTTGGGCTCCACAAGTTTGACAATCACAGTAGCTGTTGCTGAGAGAGAAACGTTGCCGTTGTCTTTGACCAGTATGACCAGTTTATGCTCAGCCTCGTCTGTCTCTGTGAATGAGCGAAGTGTTCTGATCTGGCCTGTATAGCGGTCCAAAGCAAAGAGACTGTGGTCAGTAACTTCCTGCAGTGAAAAGAGCAACCAGCCGTTATATCCTATATCAGCGTCATAGGCTCTGACTTTAGTCACCAAGTGTCCTGCGTTGACGTTTCGGGAAATCTCCTCCACACCTTGAGCAGAACCGTTGGAGCTGAGTGGATACAGGATGACTGGAGCGTTGTCGTTCTGATCCAGGATGAAGACGTTGACTGTGACATTGTTGCTTAGTGGCGGAGTTCCCGAATCTGAGGCAACAACTTGGAACTGGAAAGTTTTCAGCGTTTCAAAATCAAAACTTTTCAGCGCTAAAATCTCCCCATTATCAGAATTGATATTAAGACTGTATGAAGAAAGTTTACTATTCTCTTTTTCGTCTCTCAGGATATGATATGAAATATGGGCATTTTCACCTTCGTCCTGGTCTGATGCCCTCACAGAAAACACTGAAACCCCTGGTAAATTGTTCTCAGTAACATAAAAAGTGTAAGGGTTTGCTGAAAACTCCGGCCTGTTATCATTCACATCCGATACAATAATAGTAATGCTTTTTACAGAAGTCAGCGAGGGTGTGCCTGCATCTTTTGCAACTATTGTTACATCATATATGGCCTGCTTTTCTCTATCCAGTGGCGATTTTGTACTTATGGAATACATGTTGTCGTGTGTTGAAGGTGACAATTTGAAAGGGACTTCTTCATTAAATGAGCAAATTACTTTCCCGTTAAGACCAGAGTCTTTATCGATAACACTGATTAATGCCACAGTAGTTCCCAGTCTTGCATCCTCGGGTATTGCCTTTGAAAACGAAGTGACCTCTATCTGAGGGGCATTATCATTCAAATCAACAATCTTCACCAACACACTTTTGTCTGTCCTTAACGGAGCCGAGCCTTTATCAGACGCTTGTATATCAATTTCATAGCTTTCCTCTGATTCGAAATCTAGCACATCTTGAATAATAATTTCACCGGTGTTTGGATCAACACGAAATAGTTCGCGGATCCTGTGGTTTACATTGCTACCTAAAGAATAGATAAGCTCACCATTTGATCCCTCGTCTAAGTCAGAAGCATTTACTTTTACTATTGTTGTACCGGTGGGAGTGTTTTCGTTCACAAGTACCGAGTACGTGTCTTCATTGAAAACTGGCATATTATCATTAACGTCTAACACGTCGATAAATATTTCAGCTGTTCCAGATTTACTTGGCTTCCCTCCATCAATAGCTGAAAGAAGTAGCTTATGAATTTTCTTTGTTTCCCTGTCTAGTGTCTTGAGTAAAACTAAAATCGGTATTTTCCCCTCTTTTCCGCGATCTTTAACTTCTAATCGAAAGTGATTATTGGGACTGAGCTTATACTCTTGGACAGAAAACTGACCAACATCGGGGTCATGCGCTGCCTGCAGCTGGAGGCGCAAACCTGGTAAAACTGACTCCGAAATTTCGAGACGGTACTGTTTAACTGAAAAGCTAGGAGCATGATCGTTCACATCCTGAATCTCCACAGTCACATAATGAATTTCAAGAGGGTTTTCAAGCACTGTTTTTAGGTTGATCAAACACGCTGTGTTTCTCTCACAAACCTTCTCTCTGTCAATTATACGGTCAACGTATAGTATTCCATCGTTTTGGTCCACGTGAAAAAACGACTCCGATGAACCCTCAACAATGCGACATCCTCTCTCTTTCAATGTATTCTTTTCCAATCCCAAATCCTTTGCTATATTTCCAACAGCAGTTCCTTCATTAACTCCCTCGGCAATGGAATATCTGATCTGCGCCGAAGCGCGGCTCCACACTTGAATAACTACAACAATGAAAGCGATCCACCGCAATTCGTCTTTTGATGCTCCAGGTTGTTTTCGCTCCATAATTAGGAGATAAAAAATGTTCCTCTGTGATTTACAATACCGAGTTTTCCACGAGTTGAGAAAAATAATAAAAAATATTCATATCACCAGACAGGCTACCGTGCAGTATCAGGTTCACATAAGCTGAATATATGCTCTAAATGAAGAGGAGGCATCGAGTGAAACCCATCCCACAAATAGGAGGTCCCATACTGCTGACAAAGAGCTTATCTTTAAACACTTTTCTGCTCAGATAGTGACACCAAGTGACTATCAAATATTTTTTTTCCCCTGGATAATAGTACATGTTAAAGTATCTCATCTTTAAGTAAATACTTGCGCTTGTGTTGAGAAGGACATGTCAAATTTCATGGTGTTAGGAAAGAAAGAAGAAGATAAATAGCGCGTGGTTTCAGCACCACTGACAGCATTCACCAACACCTCTAAATGGCAAATCAAGACAAGTTTGTTCTCAACCTCTACTAAAAGCAAAACTAGAGTTTTGGCCATTTAAGGCATCTTACCTCTTCAGATGTTCTTCTCCTGTCGGGAAGCACTAGAGTATTTGCATGACTTCCAGGGACTATAGTAGATCCTATACTCATCCTGGGTCCAACTAGCATGTACCGCTTCTCTCCTGATCTGTACTGGATGCTGTGACACAGTGTCCCATCATAATTAGTCTCTGGCAGATATTTAGAAGTATAGTCTGT